TTTTTTTTTTTTTTTACCTTTTTCTATAATTTTATTATTAAAAACGTAAAAGCTTGGCTAATTTTGTGGGTTTTCATGGTAAACAACAAACTTCTGGTCCATTACCCAATTCAACTTTTGTTTCTTTTGCTAGTAATCTTCACAGTTCAAAGACAAAATGAATTGAAAGTAGGACTATAACCTTTCAACTAATCTTTTGGGATTATTCATATCTTGGATGGATGCTTAGAAATTGTCATTTTGTATCAAAACAATGTTAGGTTTGAAGTCATTTGCAAAAGCATTAATGGTTTGTTGACTTAACTATAACTTTTGCAAGAGTTTTGTTTGAATTAATAGAACTTTACATAAAATTATAAAAAAAAATAAATTAAAATGGATAAAATTTTGTATCACCTTTAAAATCTACCATCAAGAGCCAGAAATGTGAAGTTTCATATTCAGATATTCTAAAAGCCAATAAATGTAATTCCCATTTAATCACAACCGAACATAATTTACCTTTTTTTTATGAGACGAATATAAATTATGTTAGAAGAAGCAAGGCAAGGTGGTTCATAATTTAAAACCAAAAAGATACCTAATTCCTAGGGAACGATTAATTATATTCTTCATGTCATTCAACTAAAAGAGCAAGGAAAGTTACAGTTAATCAAATTTGAGTCCTTTCCTTTTTGGTCAAAAATAGCTCTCAACTCGAAAGTCTCTGTAGTCATCTAAGTTGCGTTCTTCCCAGTTTACTTATAGATGGTTTGAGAATTCAGTAACAATAAGTGATTGCAACTTGAGGGACCGCAGATCAGGCAAGACTACTATCCGTTGAGTTTAAGCATATCAATAATCAGGGGAATAATAATAGTAGGTAGGCAAAATCCCATGGAGCTTATGGGGAGATCTATATCGATCAAGTCTAAGTAAAGTCTTGACTTAGAGAGGGGTCTCACATGCCTATTTTAGTCACCTTCAAACCCTAATAATTTTGTTCTCCACTTAGGTACACTACATCTTAAATTTTATATATTATCCAAAAAGGCAGAGATGACCGTGAAGTCAAAGAGAAAGAGTGGCAAGAGCACTGTGTTTAGTTTTTTTTGGACAGAAAAATTGAAGTGGGTACTAACCTTTTTTTCTCACCTAATCCTATTCTGCTGTATTTTCTATTCTTTCATCATTCCTCATGAGGAATTATTCCTCTGCTTATTCCTTTCAAATTGCCTTCTAATCCTTCATTTGTTAGCCAATTTAATTTATTATACCATTTGTTTGGTCTATCTAATTGATTGGAGGGCCCTTTTTTTATTGTTATGTATTTTGAGCTTCAAATTTTTATGAAAGTTTTTTGGCCCAAAAAAAAATTATGAAAGTTGTTTCAACTTCTAGAAGAATAATAGTCACAACTTTAAATTTTTAACTTCCATAATATAGTTTTTCTAAGTGTGTTCTAACTGCCTCGTGCCTCTTCTAAGTTTAGAATCTATCTCATCTCCTTATATCCATCTTAGAAAAGATTGAGGCTTTTTTTTCTTTTCTTTTTTTTCAAGATTAGAAACAGTATATAGCACAACACTATATATAGATCTTAAGAGACCTCTTTTTTTGCCATAACAAACCTTAATTATTTTCATCCTCACAGCACCTTAATTATGGACTGCATCCAGGTCCGATTGAAGCGCCTGATGAGGGAGAGCAACATGGCTGCTGATGCTTCGGCCAAGATTGGGAACCAACGCCCCTGTGGATTCTATATCTTGTATATGACTGTCCGTCTAACGTGGACCTTAATTTAGTGTATTGTTGATCATGTAGGAGTTTGTTACCCCAGGTGGTAGGATTGCCATTAATAATCATTTAGTCTTATTTATCATAAAAGTAAAAAACACAAAAACAAACCTTATTATTTTTTATCTAAGATAACTTTTTATAATAAAATAATTATGCAACCTTAAATCATGTTTGGTTAGTTTTATATAATTTAATAAAGAAATAATTATTTGACTATTCTATAGAATCCTTGATGAGTGTAAGAAAATCTAACGTCCTTTCATTTATGTCTTTTTTTTTTTTGATAATGATATTTATTTTATATTTTTAGATAATGTGTGATTAATTTTGTATAATTTAATAAAGAAATAATTATTTTTCTAATCTAAAGAGTCCTCAGTGAACGAAACAAAACCAAGTGTCCTCTCATTTATGTCAAATTTTTTCGCTAACAAAGTCATATTTTATATATATATATATATATATATATATATTAAAAAGAAGAAAAAAAAAAAAAAAAAAGGAAAAAGAAGAAAAATCTGGGTATAATAGTCTTTTCCGCATTCTACACTTTCTAAAACCCTAACGAGGGTTACTGGACCTC